CGCTCAAAATGGGTAATAGGTGAATGAGAAATTCATTCTCAAGTGAACCTATTTGAGAGGAGTCAAATCTTTAAGCTTATGTTATTGGTTCGTGCCAATTTAGGCATGATGATGTAGCTTAATTTGTAAGCTAATTAAGCTTAAAATATGATTAAGCTTTATTAAGCTTAATTTGGGAGGATTGGGATTTGAAGATTAGTGCTTTAAGAATTAAAAGCTCAATTTGGAGCTTTGGTTTCTGTAAAGCACGAAACTTTGTTTTGGCACCTTTCGTGCTATGCTTTAATGCCTGGACGAAAGTGCATGCAAATTGAAAGCTTAATTTTTAAGCTTTAGTTTCATGCTGAAAGTTGGAGTTGTGAGTTCTTTCGTGCTCTCATTTCGTGAGCTACTTTCGTGCTACACCGTTTTGGTGCGTGTGGACCACTCGGGTGTGGTTTTCAGTCCCAATTCGTTAAACCTTCGGGTTTGTACGGACTTCTCGGTCACTCAGATATTTTGAAATGGGTCGTTGTGGCCGGTACGAATTAATCGCGTATTAAGTTCGTGACCGTTGGAATTATTACGAGAATAATTACGACCGTTTCAAACGTTATTATCCAATTATTAAATCTTGGATTTATGTTGGTTAATGGTCATTATAATGCTACTTAATTCTCCTTTCCCTACAAATAGTTTGTCATGTTGGCAAAATGTTTTAACACCATTTTTCTGAAACTCAAAACTATTGCTTTTTCTCTCTACTCTCCTTGATTTCAAAAGAGAAAAAATTATTTGCCAACATAATTCCGTAAAACATCGGAGTGCTCAACTTGTGTTCTAGTTCGCCGGGCTTTGGGTTGGAGTGCTCGAACGCCAAAGTCGTAGTCTGTTTTATCCTGGGAGACTGACGCCACAACGATCCTAGCACCCTCGGGAGGTGGCGAATCGGTTTTAAGATTGTTGGAAATTGGTGAATAAATCGATACACAAAATATATTATATATATATATATATATATATATATATATATATATATATATATATATATATATATATATATATATTTTGTGTATCGATTTATTCACCAATTTCCAACATGCTCTTCGGTTGCAAACCAAGAAAGCGGTACTGATAATGGGACTGAATGTTTTTCCCGTACCTTTTCCGATTATATGAGTCAAAATGGAATGATACACCAGTCCTCTTGTGTTTTCACTCCTCAACGGAATGGTGTGGCTGAACGTAAAAATCGCCATCTGTTGGAAGTTGCCCGAGCCTTGTTGTTTCAAATGAAAGTTTCCAGAGTGTTCTGGCGCCGGATGCTGTCCATACAGCTTCGTTCTTGATTAATCGGTTACCCTTGACAGTACTCCAAGGCCAGGTTTCGTGTCACATTGTCTATCCATCCACTCCATTATTTCCCCTTCCACCCAGGGTGTTTGGTTGCACTTGTTTTGTTCAAGATGTCCGTGATCCTAAGTTCTTAAAGTGCATATTCTTGGGGTATTCTAGCACTAAGAAAGGGTATCAGTGTTATTCACCTAACTTACAAAGGTACTTAGTATCTGCTGATGTGTCATTCTTTGAGGATGTTGTGTTTAAAGAAGCTCTCACCTCGTCTGACTGGAGTTCAGTGTCAGACGATTTCCTTACATATATACTGTTGCCATTATGTGTTGGGGTGACATTTTTCCCGCTTACTTTTCCAGTATTTATTTTTAGTACCCAGACTTAATCTTATTTGTAGTTTTATCCCTTTTAGCCTGTGCAATCATCAAAGAATGGTGGTTGTGGCAGTGACATTCCCACTACTTATCTTATAGTTTTCCGCTGCATAGTTTATGTTAATGACTGTTTAGAGATGTAATTAAGAGTTAGAAAAGTGGGGTGTTACAAAAGCTCTATCAAGACTCAAACACAGAATCACATATCAAAAGAGCCAATGAATAAGATATAGCAAGAAAAATAGGTTTTGTCGAGACATGGGTTACCTCTTAGCCCTTAATCACTATCCTTGGTTACTAAGGTTCTTCTCTAAGATCCTTCTACCGATAGATCTTCCTAGGCTTGATGGTGGAGAATTTCTTTGGCTGGATCACCTGAGAGTATTTCGAGTGAGGGAGAGGAGAGGAAGGTTCTATTTACTTTCTAATCCCCTATTTATACTTTTAAGGGAGACATAGTCAGAGTCTAAATAGAAATGACTCGTTTCCCTATTCCCTATGGGCTTAAGGTTCCTGGTTCGGGTAAAGGTACACGATCCATTGTGGACCATCTGGGTTAATTAGGATAATTATAATTGGATTAAATTCCTCTTAATTACTTTAATTAACGGAGTTAATTTAATAATTAATTCGGATTTGAAGGTCGTAACACGGGGTGTTACAAAAATGATGAGGGAGAGAATATGTTCAAACATTCTTATTTAGGCGAAGAGTAATTGACCATGTTGCACAAGGGGTTCCTAACTAAAAGGGGAGACCCTGGCGTGTTTGTTGTCCCATCTATTGTCAAAAATCTTGAGTTTAACAATGCGCTAGCCGATCTTGGAGCCTCTATTAATGTTATGCCCTCATGTGTCTTTGACCGGTTGAATTTGCCTTACTTGACCCCAACCCAACTCACCATCCGCTTAGCCGATAGGTCCGTAAGGTACCCAAAAGGAATAGTTGAAGATGTGTTGGTTAAGGTGGGGAATGATATCGTGCCGGTAGACTTTGTAATTCTTGATGTTGGAAAGGAGGAGCTTAATGTCCCGTTGATTCTCAGGAGACCTTTTTGGCAACTTTCTGTGCCCTCATTGATGTTGGCACGGGTCAGTTGACCTTGAGGATCAACGGGGAAAAAAGGCCAAGTTTGAAATGACCACAATTCAAAAAGATTGTGCTAGTGGTACAAAGAAATATGTCAAGGCAAAGGCCAAGACCAAGCCATGGTAGGAAGTAGAAAAGTTGTCTTGGAGAAATAATTCGGCACCTAAGTGCCTCCAATCTAATGGTTTTGATGGAAGTTGAAAAAGAGGAAGTTGCGTTTAGCCAATGACGTCAAACGTAGCGCTTCTTGGGGGGGGGGGGGGGGGGGGGGGGGGCAACACGAGGTTTCTTGTGAATACTTTGCCTTTTTCTTTTGTGTTTTTTGGTTTGGTACCATTGGAACTAATCTTGCAGGGCTTCTGGTTGGGAAAACCATTAAAAAAAAATGACCAAAAAGGTTGGAAAGTTAGAGAAAATAGCACCAAGGAAAAACAAGAAAATTTCAGGAAAGTGGACTGTTCTAAGTCCATGAGCCACTCCACAATCGTGGAAGGTTCGTTGATTCAGAACAGTGGGTTCCACTTTCAGGCTCCACGATCGTGGAGGTTCGTGGATCCAGAACAGAAGGTTCCACAAACTACGTCCACGATTGTGGAGGTTTTGTGGATCCAGAACAGAAGGTTTCACGATCATGGATCGACAATAGAAGGTTCCACGATTGGGGACCACGATTCATGGGAAAATCGTTGATTCAAAACAGTAGTCCTCCGCGTATGCGATCCACGATCGTGGAGACCTCGTGGATGCTGAACACAACCCTACGCGGGTTTTTCCATCTCTTTAAATTACCCACCCTTCATTCTATCACCCCATCCACGAAAAATCACAAATACACGAAGTTAACTCACCCCCTTACTATTTTTCATCCATCTTTAAGAGCTTCAAACGGAAAAGTCTTGAAAGAAAAAATCATCAATGAGGTAAGAGCTTCAATTTTCAATTCTCCACTAACATGTTCTTGAAGCTTTCTCTCTCTAAAATCTTGAATGCTAGTCTACATTATTTAGAACTTCTTGATGCTTGAAACTTGATGTTATTGACTAGTTTTGCTTAGTAGAACACTTTAATGTTGGAAATTTGTTGTTAATTGTGATAATTGGTGGAATTGCAATACTTGGTTGAACCCTAGTTCTTGAATTAGGAAATTTTCAATTGGGTTTGATGATAAGTCATTGCATGTATCAAATTGACATTGGAATTGCTGGGAGACATGTTCTTTATGATTGATTTTGATGAAATTTGCACAAATGCTACACTTGTTCTTTGAATTTGACACACCCGCACATTCTTGAACTCCATTGATGAATTGGGGAAGAAGAAGTTGACTTGTTGACCATGAATATCTTGTATTGAAATTTATTGATTTAAATATGATGATTGGTCTATTTTGTGAATTTGAATCATGTTTTTGTGTAGAATTTGATAAAAAAAAAAAAAGAGGTTTTGGTGTCTTATCAATCACTTGCTCAAAGTGGCACTAGCAATTCAGACCACTCTGCAGTTATTGGTGGTTTGTAGTTTGGTTGTGTTGGTAGTCGACAAAGACCATAATCCCAGCACTCACTGGCCACTTGTTTAAAGTGGCAATGACGATTTAAATTGTCCCGTTCACGTCAACGGTTATCTAGTGCACTGCTGACTACTAACTCATGCTGGCGTTGATGGTTGAAACCATTACCCTTTATATTATGTGGCTTTTATACTTCTAGTTGTAGCCTGTGCGCCACTATATTTACTTTTTCCTTTTTTTTTTTTAAATTTTTATTTGGGCCTGTTTGCCACTCTTCCTGCATATACTTGATTTTTAGGCTTGTTTGCCTTTTCTTGATGTGGCGTGTGTGTCGCCTTACATGTTTTTTTGATGTGGCGTGTGTGTCGCTTCATATTATGTGGCTTTTATACTTCTAGTTGTAGCTTGTGTGCAACTGTCTTTACTTCGTCTTCTCTTTTTTTTTTCTTTTTTTTTTTCGTTTTTGTTTTTGTTTTTTTGTTTTTGTTTTAGTTTTTAGTTTTTAGTTTTTTTTTTTTTTTTTTTTTTTTTTTTTTTTTTTTTTTTTTTTTTTTGATTTGGGTCTGTTTGTTACTCTTCTTGCATATGCTTGTGATAGCGTAAATTGAACCGGGAGTTACGATTACACTACGAATACGTATGTTTATGAACGAGTAGAACAGAGCGCTCGTTGGTCAGTCGGTCGGTCGGTCGATCTACCGGGCGACAACTGAGCGGTCCGAGGCTGAGTAGTATTACAAGTATTGAATAGTTACAAGTAGCTGGTTGCAATAAGTAAGTAGTAGTTGTAATGAGATGAAGATGTCAGAAATGAGGGGGGAGACCCTCCTATTTATAATAACTAAGTCGGCCTACGTATCTAATGCACCTGCTACAAGTGACTTGACGTGGCGTCTTCGTGTTGGCTTGGTCAGACGGTCACTCTACAGCTACTCGTAAGTTGACTGACCGAGGTGATAGAGCCGCCCTACTTGTAAGCTGTCCATCGCCGCTTGCAAGTGCAAGTTGGACCCTATAACTTGTCGTGTAAGTTATGTTTTTGGCTCCGCAGGCTACGTCACTTTATAGGCCGATCGGTCAGCCTACGGTAGACCGGTCGGGTAACTTTCTGTCGGGGCGATTCCAAGGATGATCGGAGAACATCTTCTTTTATCATGAGGCCTATCGGTATGAACGGTACGGTTGACCACAAGTGATTTAGTCCTGTCGGGTTGATGACAGTAACGGACCGGTTGGATGACTTTTGGACAGACCGACTATACGGATCAGTCTTCCGTGCGTATTTACCCATCAACTTGTTTTTTAGGCTTGTTGCTTTTTTTTTTTTTTTTTTTTTTTATGTGGCGTGTGTGTTGCCTTACATGTTTCTTGGCCTTTGGGTTGCTACTGAAGTTTTGGATTATTCCGAGAACAATTGTTATACTACTGAATTTTTGACAGACTTAGGGAGTTTTTGGGACTGTTTGGTGGGTAGTGTTGGAGGCGTGGTTGCATTTGTGGCTAGCCTATGGTTGCAATGTTGGCAACATGCTGAGCATTGGCTCTTTGTATGTTACTTATATTTGAGTATACTAGTAATTCCACCCGTGCGTTGCACGGCAATATATGTAAAACATCTAATATAAATTAATTCCTTAAAAAAATATATATACTTCTGCAAAACATATAGTATGTATTAAACATTATTGAATACTTCTTTATATACGACATTTGTAGTCGTATTTTTTGATTGTACATTTTCGTCTGAGATAAGTATCTTTAATCCGTTAGGATTACTAACTCTTGACAATGCTACGTACATTTGACCATGATTAAAAACCGGCCTCTTCAAAAACAAACCCACATTAGATAGTGTCTGGCCCTGGCTTTTATTTATTGTCATGGCATATGACAACATTAGCGGAAATTGCTTTCTTTGGAATTTAAAAGGCAATCTTGGATCCGAAGGTGTTAAGGACATCATTGGAATTAAGACCTTCGTACCAGCACTTGATCTGGAGAGTATTTTAGCTTCTAAAACATGATCCGCTAACTTTGAAATAATCATCCTTGTCCCATTGCACAACCCCAGTGAGTGATCAATATTTCTTAACAGCATCACTGGCGAGCCAACTTTGAGAGTCAATGAGTGATTTGGAACTCCCGAACATCGTAATCCATTTAAAAACTCCGGTGTGTGCAGGTCCGCCAGCATGTCAACATTAGAATCAGATTTGCATATGGAGTCACAACTGATATAGGTCCTTCCTTCAGCATTGTTATAGTCATTCATGTATTCGTTTACTGTATCTACAACATCCAAAGTAGGTGCAAGTATGGCACGATCTTTTAGGTACTCATTATCTCTGTGGCCACTGCGAAACATAGGGAAAGTGCTATCAACAATTGTAGCAATAGGATCCTCTCCACAACTGAGCAAAAATTGATTGGGAATCTGTATCTCAGATTCTCCATCCATTGAATCACCAATGGTTCCATCACCTATATTAGCAATCCACTTTGCAAAATCAGCAATCTCTTGAACTTCACTATCTGATCTCAAAGATCTAAGCTTTAGATTTTTTGTTAACCTAAAAACTTTACAGCTTCTCCAAAGATAGGATGAATTTATAGTTGCTCGCACAATATCTTGTCTAGTGCCCTTTGGAATGACTGGTAGAATTTGTCTGAAATCTCCACCTAACACCACTGTTTTTCCACCAAAAGGCATATCGAAGCTGTTATGATTTTTGACACGCATTATATCTCTCATAGATCGGTCCAACGCTTCAAAGCAGAATTTATGCATCATTGGAGCCTCATCCCAAATGGTCAACCTGCTTTGCACGATCAAGTGTGCCAAAGGACTGTTTTGGCTGATATTACAGGTTGAATCTTCATTAACAACGATCGGAATGGCAAACCTTGAATGTGGAGTCCTACCACCTGGTAATAGAAGGGAAGCTATGCCACTTGATGCAACATTCAGTACTATCTCACCCTTTGACCTTATTGCAGAAGATAATGCTCTCCACAAGAATGTTTTACCCGTTCCACCATATCCATAAACAAAAAATAGTCCTCCAAGATTATTCTCAGCATCTTTCAAAACATTGTCATATATTGTTCTTTGCTCTTCAGTTAGTTTATCCACCAAAGCATCATTCTCTTCCTTCATTGCAATAGTATCATATGCCAATTCCTTCTGTATCAACCGATTGGTTGTTCTGCAGTGATTAACTACATCGGCTATCAGCATCCCCGGAAAGTCTTTCAAACTTTTTCCCATAGCTGAAAGCATTATTTCAATCTCCGTAAGTGCAAAATTCTTCTTCTCATCTTCAGATATAATCCAATCTGTGACAATATTATTTACACTACGTGTAAAACTTTTGTTGTAAAATAGAACTATAAGAGTAAGAATGGAATAATTTAATACCTGGCTTTCCCAATTGTTCTCTAATCTTGAATTGTGCATCATCTGACAAATGAATCCACGCAGCCTCCCAAACCACCTCTGGTTTTGCTATTGAGTTAGTCATCAAGAGAGTGACAAATAATCTTCTAAGATTCACAGCTGTGGCCCAATGACTTGCTTCTTCTATAGCATAAACATACTCCCTGTCATCATCTACTAATCCTCTTGCACAACACGCATCCCTAAAAGAATCATATTGGACACCATCCACTGTTTTTATATCTAAATAACTTGTCGGACCTTTGACCTTATTCAACAGACACCTTAAATAAAAGATTTCCCCTGATCCAGGAGGCACATAGAAAACTCTACCGATAGAGAATCCTCTTTTTCTGGGCTGCCATTTTCGAATATCTTTCTTCCATACAAACTTTGTTGGCATTTCAGCATATGTCAACTTTCTTGCTTCTGGGAAGTTTTTATTTGCCTCGAACCACTCTAGGAACATGCTTTGCAAGATTGTTGGCCGACTGAGTATGTTATCAACGGGGTCATCATCTGCGAAAACGACACTTTGTTGGTTCGGCAAGTGAAAGCTTAATCGTTCCACTGATGGTGTCCTAAACTGTATATCAAAACCGAACAACCGCCACGATGCTTCACACGGAGATATGTACCTACAATCATAGTACATACTAATTTCATCCAGAACTTGTGCACCATCTTGATCATTGCTGGTTCTGTAAAACTCTGCTGTTACCCTGTCATGACCCTTGTTCACGTACTTGAATAGGTATTTGATTGAACGGGACTGATTACACCATTCAACATTAATATGAGCCCTATACTTTAACAACAAATGGCTATTGTGTGTTACCACGTACCTATTATCCAAGTCAATCCCATTGCGCGTCACAGACCGACCATTGTCTCTTCTCCGATATATAGGATAGCCATCCTCATCAAAAGTTGAGCAATTAACAAACTTTTTGGGAAAATGTTTAGTACATTTACCATTTGCCATACAGGGAGAACTGAATCTGGCTTTCCCACAAGGTCCATGCATCATAAACTCCTCAACTGCTTTGAAGTATTCTGCGTCAGCTTCTTGATCAGGCAGCTCAGCGGAAATAATGTTGTCCAAATTGTCAACATTATGATGTCCATTGACTTTATCAAGAAACAACAGGATATGAGCATGCGGCAAACCTCTTTTTTGAAACTCTATGGTATATATAACTGGTAAAAAAAAAAAAAAAAAAAAAAAAAGAAACATTACGAATGTCAAAAAAATTCTAACATTTATCTATATGAACTGTTTTAAATAGTGGCATTTAATTTACGTACCTCCCATCACTGGCCCAAATAACTTGTTCTTCCGACAATCTGAGATTAGAGCATCCAATTTCATTTTGAATAATCTACATATTATGTCAGGACGATCTTCAACTTTTAACTTTCGATCCTTCAAGAAGCGTTGTACCTCGGGCCACTTGGGGTTGCAGGTGAATGTGATAAACAGATCTGGATATCCAACCAATCTACATATAGCCATAGCGTCCTGATAATTTTGAATCATGTATCTAGCACCCCCTGTAAAACTTGAAGGCAATATTATCCTCTTTCCTTGAGTAGTGGGGTCAACTTCACCGTGTGTTAATGCATCATTCAAGCAATTATACGATTCACACCTCAAACTTTTTTGGTGTGTCCTTATATAGATTAACCTTCCTGACTCAACCATTGTATAGGCATCTACCAAAAATTGTTGGAATAACCTCTTTGAATGCAATAAAGTAGATACCTCAGATAACCTTGACTGTATACGGTATGCAAAATATTCTCAAGGACTTATCCTTTGACGGCCAGCACTTGTGTTTCCTTTTAATGTAGAGAAGGGAATGTCTTCCCTGTATCCGTCCTCACCATACGGAAAGAGTAAAGGGTATTGCATTGGGAGGTATGCTGGATTCAACTCACTAATTCGTTGCAACAGGCCGCTCTTGGTTTCGACCATAATGTCACGTTCTCCAATATTTGTATCAATGTCACCCACAATTAAGGCTGCAACTTCCGAAACTTGCGGCAAATTGTATGTTCTTGCATCCTTTGATCTCTTCCCAAGCAATTTAATTTTTACCTCAGCAAGCGGACTCTTTTGCAGCTCAGATCGTGCCATGCGGAATGACTTGACTAATACATTACTGGTATCCAAAACTTGTTGGATATCATTCACAATCTCAACATGGATGCCATTTTGGTCACCATCTTGCCTAGCATACGACAAAAAATATTAGAAGTTGCTAAAAACTCATTTGGATACAAATATTGTAGAACTTATATTTAGAAGTAAATAACAGGGACGTACCTCACAGAATTGATACGATTACTCAGTTCATTATTAGTATCATATATATACAACTGTGCAAAATGTGGTCTTTTCCCGTCTACCGGCAGGAGACTACCAATGTAATGGAAGTTCTGGCCATTGATCCGGAAAACAGGTGGACCACCGTTCTTGTTCACGCCCCGATCTATCTTACCACCCATGGACGTGAAGCAAAACATGCTATTGTATGTTCTAATATTTTGTAGGAATTGCTTGTTTTTTTCTCCTTCTCCAAAAAACAAATTGTAAATTGCATTCGGTGGCCTCATTGTTGGTGGCAATTTGATCTTACCACTGTTGCAACACATTGAATATTTTGGCGTGCCGTAAACAACTGTTTTGTTGATCCGCTCGTCGTACCAAAATAGAGCTCCACAATGTTGACAGGTGTTATTTGCATCCCCAAGATCTTTGTATTCAACTACATGGATACATTAGTTAGTTAAATAATAATGTACAACTAAATAAATTTTTAATTGACAGAAGCTATCAAATAATAAATCAATTACCATTAGGAATCTGTTGTATAGGTTGCTGCTCAATTCCAACCAATCCTTCTAAAATAAGAATAAAAAACTAGCTGTAGTTAAACAACTAACTACATACAATGGCCTCTTAAGATTGTAAAGCACATATTTTTACACATGTTAGTGGATATTGAACTTACCACAACTATATTCCTCTTGCACCGGAGTTATGCGATTAGTAGTGCATACTTCTTCAAAATCTTGAAACAAATCGCGATTGACCTCATTATCTTGACTATGGTCTTTTCCATCATTCATGAATGGCCTCTTGTTGCATTGTCTTGTACCTAATTTATTTAAAGTATAAGTAAGAGTCCTGTCACCTAAAAATTAACATTACAAAGTTAAAACAAACGGGAAAATACATACCGTTTGATACATCCTGTAGAGGTGACCGTCTGACCTCCGACCTAGTTACTGTACCTTTTATCAAAAATTAAATGTATATCGATTTGTCAATAATGATATTAGAGTTTTGATACCAAACAAATAACATACAATTTATATGCATAAGATTAACTAACCGGTCAATGTAGGTGTTGTTGTACTTGATAAATAGGGAGATTTGCCGCCTAATACAAAATGTCTGGAGTTGCTATTAGCTTTTGTATACTCCATGTGACAACTACTCATACATATATTAAAATTATCTTGATTAACTGCAACAAAATAATTCGGAGGTTCAACAACATTTCTATATAGTGTATTATACCGAAGGATATACAGATATATAAATCCAAGAAGTGTAAAGCGTTTACCTGTTGTTAGACAACTTCTTGGTGTCGCATTTGAAGTACCTGTTTGTTGTGGTGTTAAGTTTGTGGCTAAATTTGTGGCAGTTTTTTTCAAAATACGGTTGTGAGTGCTTATAACAGGCGAATTCTCATCATTTTCTGCATTAAAAAGATTCAAGGGACATAATAAAGTATCTCTTATTATAATGTCCAAAAATAATATAACTTAAGTACAGAAATAACAAAAAATTGAACATATTGTGCACAAATTTAAAATAGACCATCATGGACCAATGGTTCACACAATATTGTGGACCACTACCCACAAACTAAACATGGAAAATAATTATTGCATACCTTAACTTCTAACTATTTTAGACCAAGCCCATTGCTATCCAAAAAATAAAAGCCCATTCTACCACAACAGATCATACCAGACTTATTTTAACAATTCGAAATTAAAAGCCCAAACCCGGCCCACTATATGTTTGCATAACTTCACTTCCAAATCGGGTATTCTACACTTAGGTGGCATTTCTTGAACCCTCATCTCCGCAACCTTCTTAGAGCTAGCATCTAGAGAACACTACCCACCCTTATCTCTCACAATGTTCAGACAAACCCACCGCAATTCCGATACTCCAAGCCAAGAGTCTGCCATTCCAGTTTGTAGATCTTCGTTAATTCGTAGAAGATCTCAAAATGACTGGAACTGTTCATCTGAGCTAAGAGTAGATTACCCACAGTAATGAAACACAAATTATAGATCCGCGGCGTGGTTGTGAGAGGATCTATGGTAATATTCTCCGATCTGCGTTTTTATAGTCGGATGGCAGTTTTTTGAAGGTTACAACGGTGATCGATGATGTAGATCTTCACGGCATACCTATTCCACTATATCCGATCTAAGGTCTGTAAGCTTTAACACCCTAATTGATTTCGTATTTGATTATAGATTAAAGCTAATTTTGTTTGGTAATTGTAGATATAGAACACTGTAGACACCGTACACAGTTCATGGACATAGATGGAAATTACAGTATATTTTTTCGCAATCCAATGAAAGATAAGTGATTTAGTGGATTATTTGCTACCAAGTATGTGTTTCAGATTATATACTAACAACATTGCGCTGCTGAAATGGCAGATTTGCAGGTTTTCTTTGTATATCTAAACTACAAAGGTTGGAAGCTAATCATTCTTGAATCTCTAAGATTTGGTAAAAAACAGGGATATTTATGCAATTAACTGAGACAGTCAGGTAAAGTATAAACTATAGTTTGAATATGTGTTTATGGTACCTTTATTGTCGATCATGTGCTTCCTTTTGCTTCCAATTATTGTAGACTTCACTATTTTCCTCATGTTTGCGTTGATATTTTGTATGTTCCACTCTGTTGTTGCTATTTGGTTTCCAATACAAATACTTGGATTCAAATAGGTTATGGTGTTATATGGTTTATTGCCTTTAAGATTGCACTTTAATAGGAATGATTAAAAGCAATGATATGACTCTTCATTTTTTATTGAAAACCAACAAATGAAAGTAGTTTTTATAGAATTTAATATACATGTTCCCCTGACTTTAAGTTTGTGTTTATTTTTCTATATAAATTGTGACTAACAGTTTTTTTAAGTGTGTGGCAAATGATGAATTAACACTTCTGATGCCAATCCATTTCAACTACAACTTAGTGGCTTTTCAGTCTATAAACTTTACATGGCTCTTAGTTTAACAAATAGCCATTTCGTTTATTCTCTGCCAATGTGGTAACAACTTACAGGATTAAAGAGGATAGTAAATAAAGGGCTATTTGTTTCATCCATATTCTCTGCCAATGTTTCATCCAAGCATCATTTTTTTAGGACTAAGTTTGTTTTATTTGTTATTTGTTTATTCTATTTTGTGACAGAATTTATGTTTTTATGTCTTCACAATTGATGAAGTTACATTTTTCATCGAATTGTTTACAGATTTTTTGAATTGGTTGAGGAGAATTACCTGAACATGATTGGTGATTACTGATCGAAACATGAGTAGTTCTTTGTCCTCCCATTAGCTTTTGTGTTCTAAGTTTAAAATAGAGTAATTTATTCAATATTCAATTACATATGTAGTGTATTGCAAACAATTTTATTCCTACATGGTGTATTTAGGGTTCATTATAAATAGGCATTATATGTAATTATGTACTTTTACAGCAGCAGTTTTATTTTTAATGTAAGCAATTCCTCAGTCTCAACCAAATTTTAAATATCCATGTTTATGATTTTTCAATACACAGGAATATTTTTTTTCTTTAATTCACCTCTAATTTGTAGATTAAACATAGTTCTATTTTAAATGTAGTTACAATAATGTAAACTAAATTATACTTACCACATTAGTTTTAAAATTTTTCTCTGAAAATTAAAAAATCATTTATTTTTTGTTACTGTATTTTCAAAACTCTACTGGATACAAATTTCCAGTGCACAATTTGAACTTAACCTATATATGTGGAACTTTTATCACCAAAATTGTGCACACAGTTCAAATTAGTCCATTTTGAATTAGAGTAAGTCAAATGATGTTTTTTAGGAAAATCTGTTATTATCATAGCAGCTTAATTGTGGTCTTTAAGTTAGGAAGTGTTTTATTATATATGTGAGGTGTTATTGTGTTAACAAAATGTCCTAAGTGTTTTACCACATTTTTTAAGTGTTTTAAAATAGACATGGGTGTTTTAACAACAATCTTTATTTAAAGATGCAGAATACTCTCATAAATTAAGACTGTTTGCTTATACTTTTTTTATGCCTAAATGACTGCTTGATATACTAACAGTGCTTGCAGGGCTCTTTTTTATAACTGATTGTCAATATTGAAAGCTAAATCTGCATATTTAGCATTGTAATTACATAC